GCTCCCGGCCACCGCAGCCTCAACCTGCTGGACTCCGGCGATCCTTCTACCTCAGCCTTCCGAGTAGCCGGAATTACAGGCACGCGCTACCACACCCGGCTGATTTTTTGATTTATTGTTAGAGATGAGGTCTGGCTGCCCAGGTGGATCTCGAACCCGCGGGCTCAGGCAATCCACTCACCTCAGCCTCCCAAAGGCGCAGGATTACAGGCTGAGCCACTGAGCCCGGCTCAATTGTTTTCTTTTAAAAAAATATTTAAAACTTTTCTTTAAAATTATATTAAAAATGAACTAAGCTTATTTCTTTCCCAAAAAAAGTAGTTGAGAGTGTTACATAGTAAAAAAAATTCTGAATGCATGATGGAGTTGAGCATTTGGGATAACAGAATATTCTGATTACTTGTGATTTATTGTAGAGTTCTATTTTCTAATGACTTAGAGCCTTGTTAATTGTATTATATATAAAGGTTAGGCTTCTATGGAGAAAAGGCTTTTTGTAAACTTCATGTAGAGCCAGGTGCAGTGGGCTCATGCCTATAATCCCAGCACTCTGGGAGGCTGAAGCGGAAGGGCTGCTTGAGCCCAGGAGTTCGAGACCAGCTTGAGCAACATAGCAAGACCTCGTCTCAATTAAATAAATAAATGTAGTTTTTAAAAACTGCATGTATGATAAATACAGGAGATAGAGGAAACTGAATCTTTTGTAGTGTTTTCTGTTTTTGTTTAAATCGATTTGTTGAATTTTTCTAAAATGGTTAAAAACAGAAACGTGATTTCTTGCTTAGAAATTCCATATGGTCTCAGATTATTATGTAAAAATTAGCCATGTTAAAGAGAGACAATCTCTAGAAAGCCATTTTTGTACTTCTAAAATACAATTATTTTGTTCTTCTTAAGGCAAACAGTTTGGAATGTAAAGATTACCTCCAAGTTTGTCTTCGAGTAAGACCATTCACACAGTCAGAAAAGGAACAAGAGTCTGAGGTTTGTGTTGAATTAATTGGGTTTTATTATTTTACTTCATTTTAGGCAAAATACCATTTTATGTATTTTGGGTATGTGTTCTAGGGCTGTGTGCATATTCTGGATTCACAGACTGTTTTACTAAAAGATCCTCAAAGCATCCTTGGTCGTTTAAGTGAGAAAAGCTCTGGGCAGATGGCACAGAAATTCAGTTTTTCCAAGGTGAGTACTCATGTGAAACTGAAGTTTTCTGTTTTTTGTTTGTTTTTATTTTTACTTTTTGAGTTGACGTCTCACTTTGTTGCTCAGGCTGAAGTACAGTGGCATGATCACAGCTCACTGCAGCCTCTACCTCTGGGCTCAGGTGTTCCTTCTTTCTGAGTCTCCTGGAGCAGCTGGGACTGCATGTCCCATCATACCTGGCTAATTTTTAAAATTTTTTTGTAGAGACAAGGTCTTGCTATGTTGCCTTTGCTGGTCTCAAACTCCTTGACTCAGGCAGTACTCTCACTTTGGCCTCCCGAAGTGCTGATATTACAGGCATCATTCACTGCGCCTGACTTATGTTACAAAACATATATATTTTTTTGAGTTGGAGTTTCACTCTGTTGCCTAGGCTGGAGTTCAGTAGCACACTCATAACCACTGCAGCCTGGACCTGCTGGGCTCAGGTAATTCTTCCACCTCAGCCTTCCAAATAGCTGGAACCACGGGCACGGACCACCACTCCCGGCCAATATTTTTAGTTTATTGTTGAGATGAGGTCTTGCCAAGTTGCCCAGGCTGGTCTCGAACTCGTGGGCTCAGGAGATCCTCCCACTTCGGCCTCCCAAAATGCTGGAATTTTAGGTGTGAGCCACCATGCCTGGCCACAATTGTTTTTTTTTTTTGAGTTGGAGTCTCACTCTGTCGCCCAGACTGGAGTGCAGTGGCCGCTCCCGGCCACCGCAGCCTCGACCTGCTGGCCTCCAGTGATCCTTCTGCCTCAGCCTTCCAAGTAGCTGGAACTACAGGTGTGCACTACCACGCCTGGCTAATTTTTTGATTTATTGTAGAGATGAGGTCTCGCCTGCCCAGGCGGGTCTCGAACCCGCTGGCTCCTGGCCACAATTTTTTAAGGAAATGTTTTTTTCAAAACTTAGATGAAAACTTGAACGACTGAGTCAGATTTCTATCTTGAAAATTTTCTAATAATAAAACTATAAAGTGTACTTGTGTGAGTGGGGACTTGGTATCTGTTTTAATTGCTTATATGAGCAATTCCTAAAAATTTTTAAACATGAAAAATAAGGTATAACACACTGTGAATATTAACTTGAATTTTCTAAAGAGACTTGTTTTAAAATGCTTACTTCCTTAGGTTTTTGGTCCAGCAACTACACAGAAGGAATTCTTTCAGGGTTGCATTATGCAGCCAGTGAAAGACCTCTTGAAAGGACAGAGTCGCCTGATTTTTACTTATGGACTAACCAATTCAGGAAAAACATATACATTTCAAGGTAAATACTTCTTTTGCTGGAAAGGATAAAAAAGCAATGATATTCACTCAATAGTTCAATAATACTTGCATGTAGTTATGTTTCTACTACCTAGTGTGTGTTGCCCTATTTTTAATAGTAATAGCATATCGAGTATGCATTGTTGACAGCTTTTAATTCAGAAATATTTAATTCACTTGTAAAAATACCCATTGATAAAAAATAAGATGATAAAGATTCAGAACCAGGGAGGTACTTTATATTTCATTTTACTTTTATACTTTGTGATTAGGGGCGATTACAAATCTTAGTATTATAACCTTGTCTGGATGTAAAATTTCAGGTTTTGCATCAGAATAGTAGTCAATAAAATATAAAAAGTAATATAGTGAAGACCAGGGTAATGGAAAACTGAGTAATCCCTCAACTTCCCTCAGTGTTAAGTTTTTACTCTTGCTTATTGGTAATGGAAAAAGAGCTTTTGTGGTTCAGGAAAATTTTCTCTTTCCTGCTGGCTTGAGAGAGTATAACACAAAAAATTCATTTCACAGGTACAGAAGAAAATATTGGCATTCTGCCTCGAAGTTTAAATGTGTTATTTGATAGTCTTCAGGAAAGACTGTATACCAAGATGAACCTTAAACCGCATAGATCCAGAGAATACTTACGGTTATCACCAGAACAAGAGAAAGAAGAAATTGCTAGCAAAAGTGCATTGCTTCGACAAACTAAAGAGGTGTGGAAGTTTTTTAGTATGTAAAATATATATAAATCATGATCTTTTATAAACCCTTTTGAGAGTTTCAGCCTATGTTGGAATCTGCTTGGTGATGGTAGTGGTTGTTTTTTTTTTTTTTTGAGAAAAATATTAAAGCTTGCAGTTTGAAGACATTTCTTCTGCTTATTTTATGTTATTTAAATAGCGAGAATGTTTTAAAAATGCAAATATAAGTGACTGAAATAGTTTTTGGTTTTTTTAGAACCAGCATTGTACTTTTTATGTAATGATTTTTAAAAATTTTGTTTTTTAGTTGTGAAAGTAATATATGGACTAAATTTTAACAAGGGAATGTGAGAAATAAGGAAAGGTTCCATGTAGTTGCATTCCTTAAGAGAGAACCATTAACAAACTATAAAGTAAATTTTTTGGACTTTTTCTCTCTATATAAAATTCATACACAGAGCTTTCTGTATGTCTGTATACACACACACACAATCATATATATAGTTGTATATATATATTTTTTCTTTATATTATATGAAGGATATAGCTTTTAGTTTTTGAGTTGGAGTCTTACTCTGTCGCCCAGACTGGAGTGCAGTGGCTGCTCCCGGCCACCGCAGCCTCGACCTGCTGGGCTCCGGCGATCCTTCTGCCTCAGCCTTCCAAGTAGCTGGAATTACAGGCGCGCGTTACCATGCCCGGCTAATTTTTTGATTTATTGAGGTGTCACCAAGTTGCCCAGGCGGGTCTCGAACCTGTGGGTTTAGGCAATCCACTCACCTCAGCCTCCCAAGACGCGGGATTACAGGCTGAGCCACCGAGCCTGGTTTATAGCTTTTATTTTTAATGAAAATGATATTTTGCTATGCTTACTGTTCTGTGGCTTACTGTTTCATTTAGCATGTCTTAAATCTTTTACTACCTTACATCATGTGTCTTTTATCTGTTAGGTTGTTTGTTTAACTGGTTTTCTCTTTTTTTAGTCAGTTTTTAAAACCAGCTCCCCATTGATGGGTATTTGTCTGTTTTCATCTTTCACTGTTTTAAACAGTACTTCCATCAGGAAACATTCTATTGCAAATATATCTGCTGCTGATTTTCTTAAACTCAGGCCAATATTGGATATTTAATAGTTTGGTTTGATAGGTGAAAGATGGTCTGTCTCACTTAAGGTTAGTTTATAGTTCTTATAAATAAGGTGATTTAGTGTATTTTTGAATTTTTCCTGTGAATTGTCACATACATTCTTTGCCCATTTTTTTCCGTTGTTGTTTGACTTTTTCTTGCTAATTATTAAGAACTTATTAAAAAAATTAATACATTATTATATGGTTTGCAAAATTTTTTTTTTTATTAGTTGAAATCTCACTCGTCACCCAGGCTGGGGGGCAGTCCATGCTCCTGGCCACCACAGCCTTGACCTGAGCTCAGGTGATCCTTCCACCTCAATCTTCCAAACAGCTGGCACTATAGGCGTGCGCTACCACTACAGGCATGCACCACCATGCCTGGCTAATTTTTTGATTTGTTGTAGAGTTGAAGTCTTGCCAAGTTGCCTGCGGACTCAGGCAATCCTTTTACCTCGGCTTCCCAAAGTGCTGGAATTATAGGTGTGGAGAGCCACTGCACTCAGCCTTGTTTGCAAATTTTTTAGGTTATTGTTCACTTTTCTCTTGTACCCATTGTGTTTTTCAATATTTATGTATTAAATAAATTTTTATTAAGGCACCTACTTTGTCCAGACGGTATTTTAAGTGTTGCGGACAAATATGCTATGTAGTAAGGGGTTTTTATTTATATATTAGTGGTACCAGATAAACTTTTAATATTTTTTATGAAGTTGCACTTGTCTGTTTATTCCTTCTGTGACTTCTGGGTTTTATGTTAGGTTTTCAGACACTTAATTCTATTCAAGATTGTTTAAAAACTAGTAACCAGTTTTTATAAATACTTTCAACACATTAATGGAGATTATCTTGATTAAAGTATTTAGAAACAGTCTTAAGGTAATAAGAAAAGGTATGTTGTCCAATGGAGTTCAAAACTCAGTCTATGATCGTGGTCTTTGGAAGTAAAATATTGGCTGTTTTAACAAAAACGATGGAGGTTGATGGTTAACTACCTAAGTAATTCATAGAGGAAATCAAAATCATTAATAATGAAAAAAGTTTCCTACCAAGTCATTCAGTTAAAATAAAATATTTTGTCAATGAAGTTATTAAAATGTTAAATGAGATATGCCCTTTTATACACTGACTACAAAATGTTTCCAGCGAAGCAATTTGGCAATACTGTGTTAAGAGTGAAAACTTGAGAATTTTTCATATCTTTTCATTTACCATATAGTTTTAGGTATATCTTCTAAGGAAGTAATTAGAATGCAGAAGAAAAAAATAATGATTTTTTAGGATAGTATTTTTACTGGCAAAACTTTGTAAATAATTTAAATGTTTGATAATGAGATAATTAAGTCATTTCACATCTTGTTACATAACTATTAAGTGTTATAAACAGTTTTTAGTTATAGGGAGAAAAGCTTACAATATAATCACAGGAAAAGAATAGAAGGGGAATATATTGAAATCTGAACAGTAATTACCTCAGCGTTGCAGGGATACATGATGATATTATTTTGAATAGTTTTGTGTATTTTGTCAAGTTTCCTATCATGAGACTATGTTATTTAACTAGAAAAAATACTAATAAACAGAGATCACTGAATAGAGTTGATGAAAGATTGTGATTTTGTTGATGACTTATTTTGATTAGACAATTGATATTTTGGTTATTTTACCTTAACTAAAGGTGTTTTGTAACTTAAAAAATACTTTCTTTTTTAGGTTGTTATGTATGATGACAGTTATGACACTCTTTTTGGTAAGGTTCCCTTTCTCACTTATCTGTACGTTATCTTTATATTGATCATTTGAATTACAGTTGAAAAGCTTTTAATTTTTAAATTAGTTCTTTTTTTTTTTTTTGAGTTGGAGTCTCACTCTGTCGCCCAGACTGTAGTGCAGTGGCCGCTCCCGGCCACTGCAGCCTCGGCCTGCTAGACCCCGGCGATCCTTCCACCTCAGCCTTCCAAGTAGCTGGGAACTACAGGCGCGCACTACCACACCCGGCTAATTTTTTGATTTATTGTAGAGATGAGGTCTCACCAAGTTGCCCAGGCGGGTCTCAAACCCGTGGGCTCAGGCAATCCACTCAGCTCAGCCTCCCAAGGCGCAAGATTACAGGCTGAGCCACCGAGCCCGGCCTTTTCATCTTTTTAAATTTTAAAAATTTAATTTTTTTTCTGTAGACCTCCTCTATGGTAAATAATGATTTAATTTCTGTAATGACATAGTAACACCTGGAAAATGATACATATCTATATGAAATGTCACTGTAAGGTTTTATTTGATTTGATATCACAGATAACTCTTTAACTGGCTATAATTATAATATTAAATTTAAAAGACACTCTTGTTTTTCCTTGCCTATTACATTTAATTTCTATTTGGTTCAGTAGCATACTTTCTTTTTTTTTGACGCGGAGTCTCACTCTGTTGTCCAGGCTGGAGTGCAGTGCCACACCTACACTGCAGCTTCCACCTGCTGAATTTAGGCAATCTTTCCACCTCAGCTTTCCAAGTAGCTGGGACTACAGGTGTGCGCCACCATACCCAGCTAATTTTTTTGATTTTGTAGAGATGAGGTCTCACCAAGTTGTATAGGCTGATCTTGAACCTGTGGGCTCAGGCAGTCCTCTCACCTTGACCTCCCAAAGTGCTGGGATTATAGGCATGAGCCACCATGCCTGGCCAGCATACTTAGCTGAGGCGGATGGATCACCGGAGCTTAGCAGGTCAAGGCTGCGGTGGCTGGGAGCGGCCACTTGCACTCCAGTCTGGGCGATAGAGTGAGACTCCAACTCAAAAAAAAAAAAGAAAGAACAAGAAGTCAAACTTTGGGCCATCCAAATATTACTTACATCTTGCTTTGTTTCTAAAAGTGTTTAGCATAGGGGGTCAAAGATTAAGGATTTTTGGTTTTTCAAGTCCATGAGTCTTGACCTGTAGTTTTGTCTAAGTTTTAGTCAGTTGAATGATTTTGTGATTATCCCTTTTCTTTTATTTTGTAGGAAGTTTAACAAACTCTTTGAATATCACAGAGTTTGAAGAATCCATGAAAGATTGTGAACAAGCTAGCTTGAATATGGATAATAATATAAAATTTTCTGTGTGGATTTCTTTCTTTGAGATTTACAATGAATGTATTTATGACTTGTTTGTTCCTGTGTCATCTAAGTTTCAAAAGAGAAAGATGCTACGCCTTTCCCAAGATGTAAAGGGCTATTCTTTTATAAAAGGTATTTTTATTTTATTGCTCCAGAGTTTTATTACTAGACTTTGTGATAGCTATAGGAAAGCAAATAAGAAATTGAAAATTTTTATGTTAATTATTAACAACAAGAACATAAGAGAAGTTTATATTTGAATGTATGCTTTTCTATGTTTATCAAACATGAATATAAAAGATTCTAGTTTGGTTTTGTGTTTACTTGTGTATCATTGATTGGTTTCTTGGTGATGGTTCGTGAACTCATCCTAGAAAAAATGCTACATACCTCATTGCTGAATATCACTATGGTCACCTTTGAAGTACTCCCCTTGGGAAGCTATACACGGATGCCAGCTCCTAGTCCTTTCATCAAAGCAATTTTGGAACTCTCTGGAATGGCTATCAGAGCCGTTGCCATATTATCCTTGATGTCCTGAATCTGATGAAATGTTTTCCTTTCATTATTTCTTTTATATTTGGCTAAGAAAAAAGTCATTGGGAGTCAGATCAGGTGAGTGGGGAGGGTGTTCCACTACAGTTATTTGTGCAGTGCTGCCAACATAAGTGCTCAGTGTCAAGTTTGCAGACTTAATTGTCAGACCTCAACAACTGACGACAACTCTGATGGCCATTCCAGAAAGAGTTCCAAAATTGCCTTGACAGGTGGAGTAGGCACTGGTGTCAGTGCATAGCTTCCCAAGAGGAGTACTTTGAATGATCCCATAGTGATATTCAGCAGTGAGGTAGATAGCACTTTTTCTACGATGGATCTTGTATGTGTGTAGATAATTTACATTATTTTGCTGCTTTGTAACAGTGTCCAAAATTTGGAACTGTGAAATGTTACTATTCATCTTTAGTGCCTTTTGTAAACCTTTTAAGACAATTGCAGTAGAAAAGACATTAATAAATCATGACTCCTGTGTGTGTGTGTATGCGTATGCAATATTTACAACTCAAAAGTTTCGTTAATTATACATTTACTACAAGGAATGAACTGTGATGCTTCTTATATTCTGCTTCATTTTTATAAAATACTGATCATGTTGGAATAGATTTGATTTCATGATTCACTGAGTTGAAATCTGCAGTGTCTCATAAGCTAATCTGTACTGGATTTTGTCGCTCTTTTTTTTTCCCTGTGTCTAAATCTAAGAAATTGTATCTGCTTATAATTTTCCCTTTAGCAGACTTTGCTGAAGAATATTTACTTTGTGTAACTTATATACTGGAACATCATTATAATCTCTTTTTGCCTCTTGTGAAACATGTAAATAGCTCATTTGAATCCAGCTAGGATGTGCTATTAGAAAAAAGATTTCATTATATGTTGCTGGGAGAATACCTTCAAAGAGATTACACTGTAGAACCCATCCTGTATTTTAATAAATTGATATGTGCCCTCTTTATTTTTAAAAGATCTGCAGTGGATTCAAGTGTCTGATTCCAAAGAAGCCTATAGACTTTTAAAACTAGGAATAAAACACAAAAGTGTTGCCTTCACAAAACTGAACAATGCTTCTAGTAGAAGGTAAGGAATAAACCCTATGGAGTAAACTGGAAGAACTCATGATATTCTTTGCTAATTTGAATACAACTAATTTTAGATTAAAGTGGGCAGTAGGTTCTCTGATGTGTTAGATTCAATCATAGGCGTTAAAACAAACTGAAGAGTACTAAACACATAATTTTTTTTTTTGAGTTGGAGTTTTACTCTGTCACCCAGGTTGGAGTACAGTGACACTGTCACAGCTACCCTAGCCTCGACCTGCTGGCCTCAGGCGATCCTTCTGCCTCAGCCTTCCAAGTAGCTGGAACTACAGGCATGTGCCACCACGCCTAGCTAACATTTTGATTTTTTGTAGAGATGAGGTCTTGCCAAGTTGTTCAGGCTGGTCTCAAACCGTTGGACTCAGGCAGTCCTCTTGCCTCTGTCTCCCAAAGTGCTGGGATTACAGGTGTGAGCCACTGTGCCCGGCAAGACACATAATAATACTATTTCTTGTCCTAACATTAGGGTCACTACTTTGTAGGAAGTATTTGAGGCATTTTGGCCCTTTTTTCTTTTTTTTCTCTCTCTCCCATTAGCAGGGATATTTTTATTCTTTTTTATATCAATATCTAAACTCAATATTTTCAGCGTTGCTTATAATGGTGGCCTTTTCTCTGTTTATTTCCCACTTACTCTGTGAATACTGTGTGTATACCGAATTAGGCTATAATCTCAAGGGACTAAGGAATGATGATTTAATGGAAGAACTTGGGTCAGTATGAGAGAAAGGAAGTAAATTTAAGCAGTGAGATATTTAAAAGTCTTTCTCTCAAGGGAGAAAGAGCCCTGTTCCTATATTCAGTGGGATCTGGATTTCTCAAATGTGTGCTTTGCTTTAGGTGTATATTCAAAGAATGTTAGCTGTATGTAATACCATTTCAGCTACCAATATGATCTTCGTGAGCAAATTGTGACTTTATTATTAATGATTCTATTACTAAAAGTTGCAGTGCCAAGAAGAGAATGTTTGAGGGTTTTGGGGCCATGCAAAATATATGATTTTAGCAGCAAGGTATGTACATGACAGTGGAACATTGGGTTGAAATATCTGGCAGCTAGTTGGAAAAAGTGATGGACTAGAGCAAATATTAGAAGTATAAAGAGGTTGATTTAGATACTTGTCTCCTATTAAGAATACAGACATTAAGAACATAAACATAACATTTTGTCTTTGTGTTTCAGTCACAGCATATTCACTATTAGAATATTACAGATTGAAGACTCTGAAATGCCTCGTGTAATTCGAGTCAATGAGTAAGTTGAAAAATTTTTTTTTTTTTTGAGTCAGAGTCATAAGACTGTGTTACCCAGGCTGGAGTGCAGTAGCACACTCATGGCCACAGCAGCCTCCACCTGCTGGGCTTAGGTGATCCTTCTACCTCAGCCTTCCAAGTAGCTGGGCCTTTAGGCATGCACCACCACACCCAGCTAATTTTTTGACTTACTGTAGAGACAAGGTCTTGCTAAGTTGCCTAGACTGGTCTCAAACCCCTAGGCTCAGGCAGTCCTTTTGCCTCAGCCTTTCAAAGTGCTGGGATTACAGGTGTGAGCTACTGTGCCCAACTGTGAATAGTCTTTCAATTGCAATTATTTTGAATTGTTTTGAAGAACTTTGAAAAGTATCTGTCTATTTATTTCTTGGTTGACGCAGGTTATCTTTATGCGATCTTGCTGGTTCAGAACGAAGTATGAAGACACAGAATGAAGGTGAAAGGTTACGAGAGACTGGGAACATCAACACTTCTTTACTGACCCTGGGAAAGTGCATCAGTGTTTTGAAGAACAGTGAAAAGTCAAAGTAAGTGTTACTGAAGATGTTATTAGCGTTTTAAGTATTACCATTTTCATGCTTTCAACTTTGCTGTTATTAGAAAGTTCCTTTTAGCTTTTTAAGCTGTTTCTTTGGTAATGACTGTGCGAATTATGATTAATGTACTTAGAGATCTTATATTTTAAAAAAAGACAGAAATTGGCTGGGTGTGTGGGTTCACGGCTGAAATCCCAACATTTTGGGAGGCCAAGATGGGAGGATTGCTTGAGCCCACGAGTTGGAGACCAGTGTAGGCGATATAGCAAGACCTTGTTTCTACAGAAAATAGGAAAATTAGCTGGGGTGTGGTGGCTTGCATCTGTAGTTTCAACTACTCAACCCAGGTGGTTGAGGCTGCACGAGCAGTGATCATTCCACTGCACTCAAGCCTGGGCAACAGAGTGAAACCCCAAATAAAAAAAAAAATTAGTCGAGCATGTTGGTACACGCTTGTAGATCCAGCTACTTGGAGGCTGAGTTGGGAGGATCATTGACCCCAGAAGTTGGAGACTGCAATGAGCTATCATTGTGCCACTGCACTCCAGCCTTGGCAGTAGAGACCTCTACTCAAAAAAAAAAAGATGATAGGAATAAAGCATGTCAGTTGATGCTAGCAAATCATCAGATAAACTCAGTATTATCCAGAGCAAATATATACCAACAGATTCTGTAGATGATAAGCTTCTGATTCTGTTTCAGCATCTAAAACCACTTTATTCGTATTAATACATTTTGCACATTCCTGTAGATGTTATAGATTTTTGCACTAATTAGCATTTTAAGCTGATTAGATGATAAATCAACCTTCATCGTTCTAGGTACGGTGTTTCATAGCCTCTATTTTTTTTTTTTTTTTGAGTTGGAGTCTCACTCTGTCGCCCAGACTGGAGTGCAGTGGCCGCTCCTGGCCGCCGCAGCCTCGACTTGCTGGGGCTCTGGCGATCCTTCTGCCTCAGCCTTCCAAGTAACTGGAACTACAGGCGCGCGCTACTATGCCCGGCTAATTTTTGATTTATTGTAGAGATGAG